GGAAACCCGTATGCTGTTGCTGTTGCTCATGCAGTGAATACGCTCAAGCCCTCAATGTTGTTGCTACTGTCAACCAAGGTATGCTCTCGTGCTGCAGCATCCATTTTCCAGGCGTTGATTCAACCCGGAAGGTCTTATTAGTTGCCCCCTCTCTGCTAATCAGGTGCTTTGTTGATGCTCGTCGGACGAGAAGGATCTTCCCCGACATGCGGTAAGACGTTTGCCTCAGCGAACTAGGCAATCTTCGGTTGTCCAACGGCGTCTGCCGGAAGCCAACTAAGTTCAACATATACCTTGTCGTCCAGAACCCAACACAGGCAGCACCACCACTTCTTCGAAACCTCACATCCAGTATCGTCTTGCCCCAACCGAAAACTCATTCATTCTTTCTGCCGCAGGGCCCAGCCAGGATCTTCGAAGCCACAGGGTAAACCGGATGCACCTAAGTGCAAGGGCAGCTTTACAGAGCTTGCTTTGGTGTAAAGGCCTGGTGTCTGTCTTCCGTTATGCTGCGATGGAAGGGAGCTCCAAAATCACAAGCAGAAAGACATATTCCATGTGAGTGTGTAAGCACGAGTTGCTTCAAAGCTGCGTTCCAGCATGAAGCGCAACCAGGTAGAACCGCCTCGGTCCGGCTGTCGCCGGTCATGGGCAGTTGAGACATCTCAGAATGCGTCGATGCGGCTCTTTAGGCTAGGTTACGCTTGCCCATGCTTGCTCCCAATCTGCGAGGCAACGACTTCTTGGGTGCGAAGCCAGCGCAGTTCGTTTCGCAGGTGAAAAAGAGGCAACGAAAGGCGGTAAAGGACCTTGGAGCACGGCATGTGAAGCTTGCCAAGAGTGCCGCTGGCGCGATGCCATCAGAGAGCGCAAGGCACGGCCGACGCACGAGAGTTGGTGATTAAGTTTCTAGAGTCGGCATGGAACTCTTTGGCCTGCACTGTGATGAAACAACATCTACGGTACATTCTCTGGTTGGGCGGAGCCCCTTGGAGGCGCAAGATTGACCCAGCGATCTTTGGCTATGCCAAGGAAAGAAATACATGCTCTCAAGGACAAGCCTTGGTCAACCCTCGCTGCATTACTAGATCTGAGTTTCCGTCCCGGGCCATCGCACATACAAGGCCAAGGGTCGCTCGGTTTCGGGCTTTCAGGTCAACTTGGTCCAGCCGGCGATAAATTTTCGAGCTTGGAGACGATTTTTTTGGGAACGACGTTGAGCTCTGCAGTGGAAGCAAGAACTGGCGGAGGCACCGAAAACAGCCGCACAGGAACCAAGTCGCTATCAGCATGCTGCACATTGCTGCACCTGGAGACTTCATCGGAGCTGCCGAGGGCGGGGCAGTCGCTGGTGTCGTTTTGCTGTCCAGGGGGCGAATTCCGCAGGAAGGGTGATGGCCGAGCCGTTCGCCCTTGCCCCTTCCAGCAATCACGGCATCACTCTATCTGACGCTTCGACAACTGTTCAATCAACGACATGCAATGGAAGATTCACAGCGTGCTGCGCATGCAAACCCAAAAACCATCCAGCGAACTCAGGCTTTGGTAGCAAGTAGCTCGGCGAGAGGCATGCGGTGGACGTGAGGCATGCGGTGGGCGCGAGGGTGGCGTCGGTCGAGAGGATCGTGGCGGCCGAGACAGCGGGGGCCGCCGGTGGCCTCTTTGCAAGCTTCTGTCCTGACATGCAGAAGCGAGATCGCTAAAGTACGGCAGCTGCAGCACGCAGTTCTTTGGTACATAGTATATACGGATGTATCTGGGCCTTTTGCGGTTGCTGCGGTGGAGCCTGCGAGCAACAATCCGACAGCGTGCTCGCAAACGCACGGCAGCTGCGGCAGCACACAATTCTTCAGCATATGGGCCTGTTGCGGCTGCTGCGGTGGAGCCTGAAAGCAAGAATCCGGCGAGAGGCCATCGATTTTTGTTCTCAGTCCAGCATTGTTGGAAACTGCCCGCCATCAGAGGATGTGGAGATATGTGGTATCACTGTCACTGTCACTGTCACTGCCACTGCTGCTCCTACTACTACTACTACTACTACTACTACTACTACGACGACTACGACGACTACGACGACTACGACGACGACGACGACGACGACTACGACTGCGACGACGACGACGACGACGACTACTACAACTACTCCTCCTACTGCTACGGCTAAGGCTACTGCTACGGCTACTCCTACTCCTACTACTACGGCTGCTACTGCTAGTGCCAATACTAGTACTAACACTAATAACACTAATACTGCTGCTACCGCTACGACTACTACTGCTGCTACTGCTCCTGCTCCTGCTTGCTACCCTTACTATCCTACTACTCCTGCGACGAGAACGACGACGACTATACCTCCACTTCTACCAGTACTACCTACTACACGTACTACTCATTACTCACTCCTCACTAATTACGTACCACAGTTACGACTACTACGACGACTACGACGACGACGACTACTACTACCATAATAATAATCATAATCATACTACTCCTGCCCCTGCCCGTGCCATTGCTACTGCTACTGCGGCTCCTACTACTACTTACTACTACTTACTGCTACTACTATTACTACTACTGCTACTACTACTAGTGCTACTGCTACTGCTACTGCAACTGATAATAAGCTGTTCAAGTACTGCCTGAGAGGCGGCCACGAAAACTGGAGTGCATGAGGGAAGCAAGGAAACTGGTCTGCTCTATGGATCGTAGCTACATCAGCTCCGCTCACACCTAGCCGGCCTTAGCTGCAGCTTTGGCAGCATCAGCATGTTTGTGGCCTTGCTTCCCAAGTGCAGCAAGCAAGGCCAAGGCACATGGACGCTAAGCCATCGCAGGGCGACCGAAGGTGGAACTGATTATCAACCCTGCAGGAGTCTAAGCTCTTCAGATCAGAGTAAAGGTACGTTGCCGGACAGGGCCAGGATGGAACCCGGGGCGAGGATGGCCAGGATGGCTCGCTCTCTTCGAAGCCTGATCCTGGGCAGATCTGTCCAAACAGTAGGTCAGACTTATGCCCTCCATTCATATGACAGACCTGCGCTTGGAGCTCGTGCTTACTCGGCAGCTGCCGCTGAGGTGGGCTCGCATCCGGCATTGCGGCGGTCTGCTACGTTTCTGGCATCGGGTTGTGAGGGCTGGTCATGGCTGCTCATCCCGAAGAAGGCTGCATGGCGCTGCTGGCGGATTTAAGCTGGCGCCCTTAAGGTTCTGGGCTTCCTTGACTTCTGCTTTCGGGCTGCATTTTGACATGCCGCTCCAAGCGCAACATGACAGGTCGGCTGGGCGAGGATTCAGCGAGCTTGCTCTTTGTCGCTGCAGGTCCGGAGGAACCAACAATGGTTTCGAAATTGTTCATGCCATGGCGTCTGCCTCAGAGAAGTACAGCAGTATAGCTTCCAAATCAAGCACTGCCGGCCTTGCACGAACGCGGCAGTCCTGCCGAAGAAGCAGCAACAGCACAGGGATGATGCATGGATTCCAAACACCTTTCGACTGCGCGTCCCAACTACCGGGAGGAGGACGTACGAACCAGACGCACCAAACATTCGTCGTGTAGCAATCAACTCATGCACGGTACAGTATGGAAAAGGTGTCTTGCTTCGATGGGCCCATGCACTCTTGGTGCTGCTTCTGGTCTGGTGCTCTCATTTTCCTCTTGGCGTGCGCTCGGTGCTCTCCTGGCCTTGCCTTTATTTGCATGCCATCTCCGAGCTCGGATATCTGCATTGGAATCCAAGCCTATAACGAGCTGCCGCGGAGCATGTGAACATCTGTGAAGGTTCTTGCGGCCGGCGAAGGCATACAGCTACAACCGGAATTACGCATACGGAGAACAATAGCCACCAAGAGCAGTCACACGATCAGTGGGTGGTGCTAGAGCTCACGCGTTCGCATGATCACGCTTGAGTCCCGAGCAGTTTTGCCCAGGCATATGAACAAAGCTCCGCAATTTGCGGCCGCTTGCGACATCGACATAAACTATCACGAACTTGGAGCCAATCTACTCAATCTCAGCAGAGCCCATCAGGCACCAGATTCTACATGAAGACTTGTCTCGGTGTTGCAGAGGGATGCAACGGTAGCGCTCTCCTCGGCCTGGAACGGCACGCTCAAACATGATTCGAACAACTAACTAACAGAACAAAACAGGTCATACCGATATGATTTTCCCAGGCAACATGCTGTATTCTGCCCCTGCCTCACCGTGAAAACAGGGGAACCGCCACCCTTGCCTGAGCGAACGGCTGTCCGAGGGGCTCAACTTCGAAACTAATGATTTCTGAAGCAGTGCTGCTGTAGTAGTAGCGGCAGTAGCAGTGGCAGTAGCAGCAGAAGCAGCACATCAGCAGTAGTAGTAGTAGTAGTAGTACTACTACTACTACTACTACTACTAGTAGTAGTAGTAGTAATAGTAGCAGCAGCAGCAGCAGTAGCAGCAGTAGGAGTAGCAGTAGCAGTAGGAACTGCAGTGGCGGCGCACTGGCAGCAGCAGCAAAGCAGGCAGTTTTGACATAGGTGGCTTTCTATATATATATATATATATACCTGCTAAACCCTAAAGCCTTGAATA